TGTGGGACTGAGGCACACAGGATCTCAGTGAAAAGTCACATCTACAGTACAGTGCCTATGTGTTAGCAATTAAGGAGCATTAAAGCAGAGAGCACCCCTCTGCAATGTTTGGTTTATACATCTTTCCTAACAGATACAGACCAAACTCAAGTTCTTCAGAGCTCCACACAGCTGCCATAGCAACAAGACTAGTTTTTCTGCACCTGCAATCCTTTGGTGTGCTATTGAATCCCTTTTAACTTCTTCAATAAATGAGAAAGAGACATGATTGTATTTTTATTAGAAATTCTTGAGCATCCCTAAAACAATGCCTTACATCAGGATATATCAGGTAACACAATAAAAAATAAAAAACAAAGCAAAAAACCATGCAATGTTTATATAGTTTCATCAGTAGTATATGTCCAAGCACATGTTGGAGGAGATAAATATGTTGCCCCTATCTTATTGATGAAGAAGCTAACACACCAAGATAGAAGATCAGATGAACGACTCGGCTGAAAGCTCGTACTTACAAAGCATTTTTTAATTCATGATTCCAAAACATTTTACAACCATGGATATTATTTACTGTATTATCTACACACGGATAAATTTAGCTGCAGAAAGACTACATAGTAGTAGACAGATTACACAGTAATCAGTGAGAGAACCCAGTCCCATAACTGCAGTCAGTGAGGCCTGTCAGATTGTAACAGGCTTAGCCATGGAACAGTTCTGAAAATGCCATCCAAGTTTCTTCTTAACTCCAAACAGTACCTACATGACCCACATGTAGAAATATATTTATTTCCACAATTTAGCAGTTTATTCAGCAAAAATATGTTCCTCATGACGTCTTGTTGCTTAGATTTAAATATAAAAAATATAGTTCTGTTTTCCAAGCAAGCAGATATACAAAAAAGTCAAGAAATATAATTTCCAGAAAGGAATGATAAATTTACAAACAATAAAAGGAAATACTAATGTTCTTAAACAAAATACCTGATACAGACTTTATCATTCCAGTTAAGTCCCTTATCCTAAGGAGAAATGTACATAGTAATCCAGCTGAAGACTCAGGCCACACAGCATATGGATATTCCTGACCAACCAAACACAAAAAGTCACATGTTGTTTTACCTTGTTTACTGTCTTCTGAAGTTTGTAACACAATAAAAAATCCATTTACCTGAAGTTGTAGAGTGTGTATTGACATTGCTCTTCCTGAACAATTGCTAGCTGGTTATGAGTTTGTATATTAAATTTTAACCCTGTGCATACAGATGCAGGCAAGGCTTTATTTCCTGTTCTTCACAGGAAGGATATCTGTAATCCAGTAGTGAAACAGAGACGTGGCTACCTTAGTATGATCTGAAACAAAGAAAACACATTCCTCCTGAAATAACTCCATGACGTTTCTCAACAGGACAGACTTGTGTGAGCATTTGTTTCCATTCAATATTAGCATTTCAGTAAAAACAATGAAGATATCAGAGCTTGAAGACATATGAATTTCTATATAAGCAGGTGCACTTTATTTTAGGAGGTCAGTCATTTGTATGAGAAAATTTTGTTCCTGTATTTTGAAATGTCCTATTTGCTATGATTCAATAATTCAGAAAAAAAGGAAGCTGAAATTACATGATCACTGGGTAAGGCTAAAAGAATGCATCTTCACTTCTTTCTGTTTGGAGAGTAATTTCACACCACTATTGAACTTACAGGAGCATCTGGAAGCCCCAGTTGAGAATGAGTCATCTTGTACAGAAAGCTGCACTAAAGCCTCAAAATGCTACAACTTCTGTCTTAATTCAGAGATTACCTATGTGACTTTATTGATTTTAATGACAGGACTTTCCACAGTACTTACCATGTAATATTCACATTCAAAATGATTCTATAATGTTATGCTAATGTAGTTTTCAATTTCTTTTCCTTTTCTTTGAATGTTACTTCATAAAAAGAAGTGTAAATTTAATCATTTTAAGGCCTCTGTGTATCAGCCTCTGCACTGTAGGCACACAGTAACTGCATTATTTCTGGTCTGCCAAATGTATCTTCCCCTGCAATGAAGACATATATAAAGGACAACTCTCCAAAAAAAGGCAGATAAAAGAAGCTTCGAGCTCTGCCATGAGTGATAATTTCCTAGGCAACAAGGGAAGAGTATGTTTGAGATTTGAAACTAACCAACAAAGGGAAACCGTTAATAGATAATGGAATGAAGTTGATGAGTAGTTCATAAATGAGTTCATAAATTAGGAGATACTGACTTTTTTTTAATTAGGCGATCACCTATGCTTTAATAATTGATGTGAAATAGGAATTAAGTAGCTCTCATTTAAATAGCTACAGTTTCCAACCAGCAAAGGGAGCACTAATTCCAGTCACAACTCTTCTCCTTTGCCCACTGCACAGTGCAGGACCACAAAGGTCCCTTGGCTTCCTTTTGTAAACGGACACAGACTTTCTGACAGAGATCGGCAAAGCCCCCGCAGGAGAAATCCATACCTGTGTGACTTCTAAACATTCTCTTCCCTGCACTTATACAAGATTTTAGGTAGACGTAAGTACTCTTTTTGTTAAAGAGTACCAAATAAATGGAAACAGTAATAGGACATTTTGTTGTCTTTTACAGTCTGAGAACAATGACACTTTAAATAATTATGTTCACACAAACACTCCTGACCAACCTCAGCTTTGTATGATCACTGAACTACAAGGTCAACTTGACAGAGTAACTTGAAGCACAAAGTACAAGGTAAGTTGATGGAGGATGATAACTAGACATAACAACAAGAATCTCTTAACCAGAGATTTTCTTATTTAAATATGTTTTCTCATTTATATGAAGGGTTAAATATAATACCTAACGTTGATAATTTTTCTGTTTCAATCTCTTTAGCAATTTCTTTGACAGTAAATATTGGGACCTAGGAGCATAAGATAAAACAGAAACTTATTTCTTCATTGTTTCTTCTTTCTTTTGGTTGCACCGTGATTCCCAATATGAATAACTTGCTAAGAGATGTGAAGGAAATACCAAAACATGGTATTAAACCAGTGATTTTCAATTTGTGATCTGCAGACCAGGGCTTTATTTAAGGGGTCTGTAAAAAGTTACTAAGAAAACAAAACTTATCATAAGGCATAAACTTGGTAACCCCAGTGTAGAGTTAGATGAAACCATAACATACAGATATATGAGGAAATAAAAGACATATAATGATATGTATAATTTGTAAATTTTACTAAAGGAGAACGTGCACTTATATGAAAGAGATGGATCACTTCTCATTTTATTCTTACTCTTCCCTTCCAGGAATTAAAGATAAAACTGAACAAAACATGGCACCCATCATGACTCCTTTGATGCTAGCAGCTTAAATACAATCATAACCATGGGAAAAAGGGTTAACATATTGCTTGAACCTTAACATATTAACATATATAAGAATATGTTTAACATATTCTTGAACCACAGGGAATAAAATGTTTATTTTGTAAAAATAATACACCTTTCTAAATTAGATTGGGTATTTTACCATGTTAATATAGAATGACCTTTGCTTCTAGTACATCACACCCCAGTAAAAATAAAGAGAAAAAAGGCAAGATAATCAGACAAACTAGTAAAAAAATAGAGATAACTATGATGTACTGTACATTTTTATCTCCATAAACAGTCCTAACTTGTATTTCTATAATAAGAACTTGAATTTGCTAAGACAACAAGTTTTTGAAATAACTCTTAACTTTTATCACCTCTTAATTGGGAATGAAACCTAAAATGTAAAATGCCCAGACTGGACAAGATGACCTATTTCTGAGCCAAAAGTAGGAAAAGCCCCTATAATTAAAGGCCTAATTTGAAGTAAAATTGCAGAGCATTAAATTTTCATTCATTGAAATCCCTGAATTACAAATAGAATGTATTGTTAAACTCTGCTGAAGCAAATTAATACCTAGCAGGTGTTTAATTATCATTTAATAATTTATAAGAATGTATTTTCCTCTTTCTTATGTTGTTATACCTCATGAATATCAAATCAACTACTGTGGTTACATCTTTGTGAACTTGGAATGAGATTAGAATTGAGCCTGGAGTGACAAGAGTTACTAAGGAAAAAAAATTAACTGGAAGAGTAAACAATCCCAGGCTCAATCAGTAGAAACATTAATGAATTCTAAAAATCACTCAGATAATTGTCTTCTGCTTTTCCAAGCAACAAATACATGCATCAGAAAATTATGGGTTTTAATTTGCTTCTGTTTTCTCTCTTCAGTTGGACATTTCTGTTGTATAAAAGTAAAGAGAGCAACTTGTCTCAGGGCTGCAAAACCCAAGAGAATTCCAACTGTATTGCAGAGAATATGGATAAGGCCTGTAAAGAATATCCTGAATGTAGTCACTTCAACAGTTCCATTTTGCTTTAACTGACAGAAGCTAAATTAGTTAATTCAATAAAGTGCCAATACCATTTTCATTATTCCTGTTGAGTTCTACCTGGTTTGCACATGTGTATTACACCCAATGAGACTGTGTGATTATAATTAAGACTGTAGAATGTAGGCTTGAAATGCACAGGATTTTGTCCCATGTATATGTAGATGCTTCACATCCATGATAACCTTAAGGGTTGTCATACTCTGTATCTACCCTTAAAAGAATACATATGTACTTCTCTAAGAGTGTCCTTTCCAAAAGGTATCAGCTCCGAACTCTACAGGCAGGAATTCTCTCTTTTTAGTTTAAAACCCTGAATCATCTTGTATTCTATAGTTGCTGCAAAGTGAGAAAAGTTTCTGTATTGATTGTAACCAAATGGAAAGAGGGTAATCGCTGTATTTTTGGCAAGAATTATATTTTCAAGTTTTATATAAGCATATATTTACCACTATATAATTATTTACAGCTTCCTAATAATAATAATAATAAAAAAGTGATGTGAATTTTAATCTGCACAAAAAAAAAATCAGTGAATGAACACGAGTGAATGGTACCTAATAGTACCTACCAGGAAGCATCATGGATTGTTCTTGGAATTGTTTCAAGGCATCCTTCAATCTCTCAGTATCCTGTAGCAATACAAGGGATTTCAAACGATGTAGATGAGTCACATCTGAGGAAGAGACGGTGCGAGATTCAAGATATTGTAAGAGCTCTTGGGCAGTTGCTGAATTTACAGCAGTATCTGTGCATTCATATTTCTCTGGAAAAACAATTGGAAAACTATGTTAAAAATGTTCAGTGAACACAGAGAAAAATTTTCCTAATTATACTTTCTTTTCAAAGACAGCATCTTCCTTTTTAGTACAACTGACAACCAAATATCAGGTACTAAAGAGCAGCTTGCTCCTCCAACTTTTTGTTAAATATAAAAACAATAGTAAGAGGGGAAAACTACAAAATTCAATAAGTAAAAAGGACAGTAGGATTCACAATGACAGGAATGCAAGAGGAATCTAAATTTTCAAAATTAGCAGAGGAAGAAGGTGTGATGAAGAAACTGCACAGTGGCCAAAGCACTGTGTTTTTGCTTCCTACACACTATGTACTACAAAAATGCACACACCTTTGGAGACAGGGAAACTGTGGAACTACTGCAAAGCACTTCTGGAGGCTACCAATTATCTTGTTATTGCACCTGTGTGTTTTTATTTAAAAAGCAGGTATAACAGCATGGAACACAGCAGAGAAGGGCAGGCATTGTTTATACACTACTAAAGCATAAATTCTTCCATTCCAGTAACAAGGTGTAGTCTGTCCCTTTAACCAGACTCCCTTTATTTAATTCTTCTGTTTTTTACCAGCAAGCCAACTGAGAAGAACAGAATTTTCCCGATTCAGCTTTTTAAGATATATAGTAGAAACATAATCCAACGTGACCATTTGAAAATGCTGCTAAAAGCAATGGCTTCCAATTTTATCTAAAAGAAACAGGGAGTGTTAAAGTCATTCAACCAGAAAAGGCAAACAGCATAATGTCAAATCTATATATAAACTACAATTTGCCTAACAAGAAAGTTAGTCACACTCTGATTTGTGGATGTCACATCTTATCTGCAGATGAACTTCCTTTTACCTAAGAATTCCTCTCTGTGGATTCCAAGGTCCTCATTGGTTCAACACTGATCTGCTGGTTTGAAACCAGGGTCAGTCAGGCTGTCAAAAACTGTCAAAACCTGAACTTGACTTCCAGAAAAGCTGGAAGCTCAACAACACTCCTTCTTAAAATTCAAGATGCAACACAGTTGTGGACAGCTGATCAGGTTTCTGTTCTGTTCATGCATTAACAGCAGAACTTGAAGAGTTTGTAATCTTTCTCAGTTACTCTGGTGTTCTACTGCAGCAAACACATGTAATTTAGCTTACATTTACTACAGTGAAGTAGTAAAATTCATATTTTTGGTGACAGAAATACATTAGCCAAAAAGTAGGATAGATTTCCAACGCTAGGCTTAGTATGAAGATCTGATGCACCAGAAAAACTTAACAGCGGAGCAAAGAAAATTCTAAGTATACATCTTGAAAAAAAATTAACATGAAATCCCTGATGCCAACCTAACAGGGTGTTTAAAGTAATTCTGTAGTCTAAAGATGAATTTTACGGGACTAGGAGCCAAGAGCTCTGACTTAAGATGGACTCATACAGATAAGTAAGTTGTTTAATATTCTCCATTCAGCTCCACAGTAACCAGATGAACATTCAATAGGCCATTAGGGATAACATCCATGCAATCCTTTGAAAAGTGCTATGGAATATGCATTATGCAGTTCTCATTCATCTTGTTCAGAAGTGCTTTATGCCAATACACTTTCGCAGTGCCAACAGTATCCTGCCCTTTCCTCTTGCATGCTGTTTAGATTTCCTTATATAATACAAAGAAATCTCCTCCTGGGAAAGAGAACATTCCGAAAAGTAGGTTGGTTTAGAGATGCTAAGCATGAAAGTAGTTTAGGATAGCAATTGCCCTCATTTGAAGTACTCTGAAAGGAAGTAATCCTTCTGGATGTTTGCTTGCAGAGGAAAGAAGAATTTGGCCCATTTTAACCACTTGCCCTGAGTGCTTTGGAATGTTTAAGAAAAGAGTAAGGAATATCACGTATATTTTCAAAGACAGAGAAACAAAGAACCACAGGTTTTTTCTATTGATGTGGATTCTTACATATTCATGTACACACCAGAAAGTGGGACAAATACTAAGAACTCACATGTCTTACTGAGTTCAAGAGAGACACTTCTCTAGTAGATTTATCCCATATTACAGCATTAACAAATGCACATCCATTTTCCCCTGCGTGGTAATGCTCATGAAAAGAGAGGAGAAAAAGTGGTACATACTGTCAGCAAAATAAATTTGTTGTGTTGCCTGCAGGAAGTCCAGAATGCTATCTGCCTTTTCATCTATGTCTTTTAAGCCTGCTGCTTCTTCTCTGTTGTTTTTGTCAGGCTGATATGTAAAATCCACACTGGTAGTTTTTGTTACCAAGCCAGCTGCTCTCTTTTTTTCTTTCTGTCGCTTCTTTTTCATTTTCCTCTTTTTGTTTCTGCTTATTTTGGGACTGTCTGTCTGCTGCAGCTGTAAATTATCTGGAACTAGAGCCTCTTGCATTCCACAGTCTGTTTGTTCTCCATGTAAATTATTAGAGATTTGCAAACTGCTCTTTTGTTTCTTCCTTCGAACGCACTTTCTCTTGGTTTGCCCTTGATATTCCTCTTCTGCGGATTCAAAAGAGACATGAGAGCTGTAAATAAGATGATCTGTAATAGGCATTTTAGAACTGAGAACAATAAAATATTACACCCTTCAAATTTTGGGACGCCAGAGTGGCTCTAACCTTACTCAATGCATTTAGAAAAGTTGGCTTTGACATTGTAGTACTGAAAGACATTCTAATCATAAAAGTAAGACAATAAGCTCTTTTCCCTTCTGCTTTCGATAAAGACTGTACTCTTCTTTGTGCTACATACTGTACATTGCATTTACTTTCTTAAAGCAGATAATATGGTTCTATACTGAGTGAGGTCAAAACAATCCCCAGAACAAAAAGCAGTATGGACAGGCTGGGGGACTCGGCATGAGAGACGTTCCCAAGGAGTCCCCCACCACCAGTCTGTAGACTTGACCAAGAATGCAAGGAGAACGCACACAATTGACAGCAAAACGTGTTTATATTGATGATGTTCATTCATGACAGTGTGGTGCTTTAAAAACACCAGGCATCTGCTTCTGACTCATCTACTTCCTCCTCCTTAAACATCCTCCTCCTTTGGGATATCTTACTGTTAGCTCAGTTTTGGACATCAGCTTTATAGGAAAAGCAACAGCGACCTTGGCAAGTAGTCTTCAATCTCTTTAACCGCCTGCCTCCGTTCTGTTGTTCCCTTGCTACATTATAATTTCCTTACTAGCTAATTTTTCAGAAGGCTCAAATGTCATGGGAAATAAGTCTCTTTTGCTCTCCAAGACAGCTTCTTTACTCAGATCTTATCCCTCTACACAAAGCAAGTCATCTCTGACCCTGAACTGACTGTTTCTCCCACATGTTCACTTCTGAGTGTTAGCCCTCCTAACATTAGGCAAGTAAGACTGCCAGAACCCATCTTCCCTTTGAGTGCACTGCTGCTGAAGTCCATATTCATGTCTGTAATAATTCCTGTCTAAGTGAAATTCCTTCCTTCATGGTCTAACAAAATCCTCACACGTTTGAACATCATGGAGTGCAGAATACCAGCGTTCTTCTATGTACTGAGTTTGCATGGCAAGATTTTGGTCATGGTGGGGGCTACAGTGGTGACTTCTGTGAAAAGTTAATTTGCCAGAAGCTTCCTGTATGTCCGATAGAGCCAACGCCAGTCGGCTCCAAGACAGACCCACTACTGGCTGGCTAAGGCTGAGCCCGTCAGTGACAGCAGTAATGCCTCTGGGATAACGTAGTAAAAAAGTAATTGTGCAGAAGTAATTGCAGCCAGCGAGACTATGTCAGAGAAACAACTCTGCAGACAGCAAGGTCAGTGAAGAAGGAGGGGGAGGAGGTGCTCTGGGAGCTGGAGCAGATTCCTCCACAGCCCATGGAGCAGAGCATGGTGAGGCAGCTGTGCCCCTGCAGCCCATGGAGGACCACGGTGGAGCAGAGATCCACCTGCAGCCTGTGGAGGACCCCACACTCGAGCAAGTGGAAGCCTGAGGAAGCTGTAGCTTCATAGGAAGCCCACACCAGAGGAGCACCTGGCAGGATCTGTGGCCCTATGGAGAGAGGAACTCACACTGGAGCAGGTTTGCTGGTAGGATTTGTGACCCTGCAGAGGACTCACACTGGAGCAATCTGTTCCTGAAGGACTGCACGCATGCTGGAGGGCTCCTGAAGAGACCCATGCTGGAGCAGTTCATGAAGAACTACAGCCCATGCGAAGGACCCATGCTGGAGAAGTTCATGGAGGACTCTCTCCCATGGGAGGGACCTCATGCTGGAGCAGGGGAAGGACTCCTCTCCCTGAGGAAGAAGTAGCAGCAGAAACAACGTGTAATGAACTGGCTGTAACCCCCATTCCCCGTCTCCCTGCAGTACTGTGAGGGAGGAGGTAGAGAACAGGGAATAAAGTTAAGCCTGGGAAGATGGGAGGGATGGGGGGGAGGGTGTTTTTAAGATTCAATTTTACTTCTCATTATCTTGCTCTGATTTTGATTGGTAACAAATTCAATTGATTTCCCCAAGTAGAGTCTGTTTTGCCCAGGTGAGTGATGGTAATCGGTGAGTGATCTCTCCTTGCCCTTAGCTCATGAACCTTTATTTTCTCTCCCTTGTTCAGCTGAGGGAAGTGATAGAGTGGCTTTGGTGGGCACCCGGTGCTCAGCCAAGGTCAAACTACCAATTCTAACGTCTTGATCTAGAAAGCTGAGCCATTTATCTTTCCCTCAACCTCTACCTGCATGTTTCTAAATTCCTCACCGTGTACCGAGCCTATTACTCTTATTTATCTGGGCTTACAACATTCCCTTAGGGTCAAAGAATCTTTGCTTGGCTAACACTGGTGTAACACAGGAGAGACACCTGAAGCCCAATGCTCGTTTCAGGATGATGTGCATAATCTCCTGAACTGCCTCTGACATTCTCGGCTTGTTTGGCTTTCTCATCACTCCTCCTCCTCCTAACTAGTCTTTGCCTCTATTTTCTCCACGGTTGGAGGCCCTCTCTTTCATTTCTGTTTCTTTTTCTGTCTTGAACTCTGTCAGCTCTGAGCCACTTTCTCTTTAAATATCACTACAGATTTGTAGTTCTTTAGCTGTCAGATGACTCACTGCAAAGCAATTTTCCATACTTTCAATGAAGGCAGGCTGCATAAAAATAAATTTGCTGTATTATAACTGAACACCACAGCATGTTAAAGACATGCCAAACGTCACCCTGGACCCACAGTGTGGAATGTTTCACACTCATGGTATTTGAGCTAAATATCTTTATATGTGATTTGGACATATGGGATGTGGGAAAAATAACGTCTGTGTCATCTTGAAGGAATAAAATATCAGAACTGAAGGCAGATATGAATGGTGAAAGATGCTATAAACAAAACATCACTGTTTCATCTTGAGATCTAACTTGGATTTTCATGGGAGTATTTGTGTTATAATAGGTGAATTTCAATGCAAATGTAGGTACATTGTTTTGCAAAATTCCTCAGCCCTCTATTAACTTGAACCTCACTGTTTGCTAAAAACGCTAGTTTAATCTATGCTCTCAGCAAAGTGGCCTAACTTGCTCTTTAAGCATCTGAGAATCACCAAATCTCAGCAAAACTACAGCATGTTGTGCAGACAAACACCCTCAATTGGTTTGAAACCACTTGAATAAAACAGTGCAGAAGCCAGGACCGGGCTTAAGATAATTGATCTTTTGTGTCATATCCAAAAGTTTCTTTATCCTAGGTACCTTAGGACAGCAGAAGGTCTGAAGAGACCATGGTGAAGCTCTCAAAAGGCAGACTGAATGTAGCCATCCTATGTGTAGGTATTAAGATAACTACCTGACTGAAAGTAAACAAAAACTATGCTTTCCTCCAACACGGAAAAAAAATCAAACATAAGACTCTACTACCCTACCTAAGTTCTCTTGAGGAGTTAAGAGTGGCAGTCCTTTAGCGGTTTTTGTCATTCTTTGTCCTGTATTTTAGCATCTATTTAGTATCTACTCTTCCATGTGTGGGAGCTACTAGTGATTCAGCATCAGGAACAGACGAAATTAGATGGTTACGAATGCAAAGTAATGCACACAAAAGGGATTAATTTGAACAACCTACTGCTAGGGCTAGAGTGAACTGCTATCAGCTCAAGAAAAACAAAAGCCAGACCTGTGCATCAGTATAGAAAGCTCAGTGAAAACATTTGCTCAGTGGGTATCAACGATCAAAACAGCTAACACCTTGTTTGCATACATAAAAAAGGAGATGGAAAATAACTGGAAAAATATTCCAAAGCTATTATATAAACCTGTTGTACTCTTCAAGCTTGTAATACTGTGTTTCTTAGCATAATCCCTGAATAAGATGACTTTGGCAGACAAGAGGAGGATTCTTACAGAAGTTACCAGAGAAAGAAACTCCAAAAATGTTTGTATTATTTGACTTGAAAGAAAGAATAACAAAACAGACTTCATTTCTGCCTCCTCATGCAAGAACAAGGTGACGTCCAATTAACCTGAGCAGTTTCACCAGCTAACAGAAGAAAGTAAATCCTTGTGTTACTAATGGTACAGATTGCTATTGAATTCCCATGTGTGTGGCATGCACAGGAGATTGAAGAACTGGTTCTTTATATAGCCAGTAAGGCTACCTGATTATAACAGCCATGCTAAAATATAAATAAGAGTTGTACAAGGCACATAAACCATAAAGTTTAGGTCGCGTCTCACACAAGGATCTCAACAAGCAACATGTTCAGTGGGATCTGCTCCCACAGCTTTAGCTGTCTGAAAATACTCAGTGCATACCTAGACTTATGCCCCCTCAGATAACCCAAGAGACACTACCATCTTCAGAAAACAGTTTGCCTCATCCTAAACCAGCCTGGATGGAAATGCAAGCGGAAGGACTAATATCTCTCTCTCCCCTTCTGTTAACCACAAAGGAAATGGAGATAATGAATTTTGACTAGAGGCTTGCAACAACTGAGAACAATTAGTCTCTTTTATAAAAATTATTAGTATGGAAGAAGGTGTTTCATAACATGAGTCTGGTCATGAGATTGACTTTTGGTAATTAACAAAATCCACTGTTTTATTAAAAACACCCAAACAAAACAAACGAAATTCTGACAGATTCTCTAGATTTCAAACCAAGAGGGAGGCCTGATAAAATTTCAATAGATACAAATTTGGTTCTAATAACTTTTCCCACTGATGGAAAGTGTTGCATAATTATAACAAATGCAGGGAATATATACTATGCAAGCAATCTCAGGATGGTGAATAAGTACTTCAGAAACAACGACAGGAATAGCAACTTTTGGGTCACACTAACTCTGGCCACAACTGCACCTACAGCTTGTCCTAATTCCAAAAGAGCTGATGATTCTTCCTCTGTTCCGTAATGGCCTGTCACCTCTCTCCCTCCTAAGACCCATCTCTGTTCCACAAATCACTTAATTGATCACGTAATCTAATTATCCAGAAGCAATTGACTCTAACCTGTTTAGCTGCACTTGGTGCTCTCAGACTGAGCAA